AAAAAAAAAAAAAAAGGAAGACTTTTAATGACTATCCCATAACTTTCGTGTAGGTCTGTTGAGGATTTATGTCTTGTAGGTTCTGTCTTGGTCATCTCTATTTCTACCTGAAAATTGGTCCATTTTATCTAAATTATCTGATTTGTTAAAATAATTACCCTTAGTTTTTATTGTCTTTTCATTTCTATAAGATGGGTCTGAGCATTTTTCTCTCTCCCTTCTTCCACTCTGTCTTCTCTCCTGCCGGCCTGTGGTGCTGAAGCCTGGGGCATCTAAGCTGCACACCTAGCTCTCCCAATTCACTTGTTTTCCTAGTCAGCTTTTAAAGGCTTATCAAATTTGCTGGCAAAGAACCAACTTTGATGTTTTAAGGCGCGCGTGCATGCAGTACCTGCAAAAGGCAGCTGCTGGCATGGGATCCCCTGGAACTGGAATTAGCAGGTGGTTGGTGAGACCTTTTTATTTTGAGACAGGGTTTCTCTGTAGCTTTAGAACTAGCTCTTGTAGACCAGGCTGGCCTCGAACTCACAGAGATCCGCCGGCCTCTGCCTCCCAAGTGCTGGGATTAAAAACGGGCATCCGCACCACCTGGCTGGGAGCTGCAGGCACACTTCACTTCAGTCATGTCTCCAGCTCCCTTACCCATTTCCTCTTTCCTCCACTTCTCTGCCCTAATATTCCCTTCCTTGCTTGTGCTCTCTCGAGGCCGAGTCTAGCTTACTTCGCTTACATCTAGTCCCTTTAAATATAAAGCTAGAACTGACTTGAGAACACTTATTGAGACAGGGTTTCTCAGTGTAGCTCTGGCTATTATGGAACTCACTGTATGGACCAGGCTGGCCTTAAACTCACAAAGATCTGCTTCTGCTTCTACTTTATTTGTGTGTATGTGTGTGAATGTTTTGCTTTTATGTATATATATATATATGTCTGGACACCTCATATACCTGGTGCCAAGGAGGCCAAGAGAGAGTATTGAATGGATCCCTTGGAACTGATGTTACCAATGGTCATGAGCTGCCATGTGAGTGCTGGGGCTCAAACACAGGCCTCTGGAAGAACAGCCAGTGCTCTTACCTTCTGAGCCATCTCTCCAGCACTGAGAATTCCACCTTTTGAAAGTAGGCTATTGGCTGGGTTTGGTGGCGCACGCCTTTAATCCCAACATTTAGGAGGCAGAGGCAGGTGGATCTCTGGGAGTTCAAGACCAGTCTGTTATTCTACATAGTAAGGAGACCTGGTCTTAAGACAAAACACACAAAAGTAGGCTATTGTACTCCCTTTGTTCTGCTCTTGCTGTGTTGAGTTTCAGTGTGTTGTTTTCATTCACCTGTACTTCCCAACTCCTTTTTAACCCATGAGTTGTTAAGGTAAGAGCTGGGTGTGCACACAACTCTAGCACTCAGGCAAGGCAGGAAGATGAGGCTTGCCTGGGCCACATGGGGAGCCTGTCTCAAAACAGGAAGTGGTATTTCCACATTTTCCTGAGCTTTCTACTAGTTGTCCACTGTGATTCATTCCACTGTGAAGAGATGACAGGGCCCAGTCTGAGACATGCTGCACTGAGAATGTGTATTCCATAGGTCAGGTCTAGCCAATTCTCTGAAGGTTATGTAATACTTGGCGCGCGCAGATTGTAATGACAAAGCCAGTGCAGTGGAAAGCCGTGAAGCCCCCAGCCCTTACTGGGTCTCCACAGGCATGCGTGCATAAATCCTGGGAGGCTCAGATTAGCTTTGAGCTTTTCCAATCTTTTGGTTTGGTTCTGACACCCAATCACAGCAGCGCACAGGCACTTGTCGGCTCTTCCTCAATCACATATCCATTCTCTGAGGTCGCACTTCTGGATGGTTGTCAAGTCCACAAGAAACTCGGGACCATCGCTAGCTATGGCGTTTATTAGCATAACAAAGCACAGGCTGGTTTCCAGGCTCTCAGTGTTGCAAGTCCACACCGGCATTCTGACTCTTACAGCCCTGCCCCCTACTCTAAATTTCTTTTCTGTCCCTGCTCTGGGCTCTTCCCCCCCCCCCCCCC